GGTCCGTATATATCATTTAAAAAAAACCAATAAAAAATAAAAAAACAGATTTATTTTATTTAATAATTACGTAATATTACCAAATAATGCAAAAATAGATTTTACCATTCAAAATAAATACATTTATAAAAAAATAAAATATGTTTAGAATAATTACTTAAAATAATTACTTAAAATTTGTAAAAGTTTAATTAAGTTATAGATGAAAAGTTTTAAAATTCACCAAATGTAACCTAGAAAAAAAAATAGAAAAGCTACTGTTTACGGGATATAGGGACTGATCCCGGTCTGTATAACTATATACGGACCGGGATCGGTCCGTATATATAATATAAAAAAATAATTAAAAAAAAGATTTATTTTATTTAATAATTACGTAATATTACCAAATAATGCAAAAATATATTTTACCATTCAAAATAAATGCATTTATAAAAAAAAATAAAATATGTTTAGAATAATTACTTAAAATAATTACTTAAAATTTGTAAAAGTTTAATTATATTATATATGAAAAGTTTTAAAATTCACCAAATGTAATCTAGAAAAAAAAAATAGAAAAGCTACTGTTTACGGGATATAGGGACCGATCCCGGTCTGTATAACTATATACGGACCGAGATGTAATACCCCAAAATTTCCTAGAGCGTTAATTTGGGTTAAGGACCTAATGGTGAAGAAACATTATTAATGGACCTAACTGTTAATTTTTCAAACCTTAAAGGGGTTAAAACTCTTATTGGATAAGGCCGGCTGACTCATTTCCTTTTTTTCTTTTTCTTTTCTTTCCTTCTTTCTCCCAGCCATTTCACGTTTGCTCTATTTTTCTCCCTACTTCAGCCGAAGTGAACCCAGCCATTTTCCAGCGTCCCCATCTGCAAAATTGGTAAGAGAACTTGATGATTTTGTTCTCCTCTTGCCCAAGAACAAGTTTAGGACTTAGAAATCTTCTCCCTTGCATAAATTTTCCCAGATCTGCTGCTTTCTTCCTTCCCTGCCGCCAGCCACAGCTGGGTGTGAGTTCGGTTTTCCTGGTAAAAATCAGTCCAGAAACTCCTCTTTTTAGCCTTGATTTATGTTGGGTCACTCTAATCTTGTTGTTCCTTAAATTGCTAGTGGCCCT